TTTTTTTTTTTCCTATTTAAGAGATGGTTTCTCTTTTCTCTTCTCTCCTGGGGAGATAAACATAATATTCCAGCTTATTTTTGTGAACCCTACCTGACCTTAATTAGTGGTTAGTTTAATAACATCTTCGCCCTATTAAATAAGGGCTGAACCATGATGGACAGATACGGAGTGTGAGCCAGAACTCATCTCGATGGGCTTAGGGTTACCGTTGGCGAGAAACTCGAGTATCACTCTGAATTTAGACCCATTGTTAGTAAAGTCCTAACCATCTTCAGAAGTCTTTTCCTATCCAAAAAGTCTCTGTCTTTTATGCTAGATATTTAGAAACCAGCAGAAGGAGTGCGGTCTGTGATTGTCGAGCACTGGAAAGGTTACTGGGGAGCGTTGAAAGCTTTGGCAGTCTGGTGTTCAGCTTTTTTTGGCATCATCGATACACTCCTGCTTCAGTACACTTGGCTGAACCACATAATCCCTTAAAGGGCATTTTCCTCTTATTAGCAATTAAAAATTGGTTATGTATCATTACTGTTCAAGGAGACACTATGTCTTTCTACAACATATCAGAAAATCTCTAGGATCTGGAGAAGTAATACTTGATGGTGTGGCACAGAAGTTAAAAGTGTTAAGCTTCGCAGGTTATATGGCAGGGATTTCTTTTGTCCAAAAGTGTTTCAGCATATTTGCTAATGGTAATTTAGGAGAAGAAGTTGAAAACTGTACTTTGTATGAATTTGAATTTGGTGTCTGGCAATTCCAAGGTTCCAAGATTTTGATTTTGTATGTAAATAAGCAGTCGAGCAGGAAATGATAATAGGAGACAGGAGCCCTACCAGCTTAGCCATAAAGAAGATGATGGCTGTGTGGTGGTTGTGACCACATGAATAAAAGAAGCTTATGATGCCCATGATGTTTGCAGTAAAGACACTGAGAAAAAGATTAGAGGACTTGGTAGGGGAGGAGGCGAGCCTGCAGTTCAGATAAGGGATTGCGGAGCACAAAGAAAGGTCTTACTGTAACAAGGAAATTTCACAAGTCTGTGCCAGTTGTAACTTAAGATGACTTGTTTATGTATGGTACAGTGTTCAAAATAAAGACACTCCAAGTTTCAAGTGCAATATTCTAGGGCCTAATTAAGGCCTCCCGTCAGCACGTTCCCACCTCTCGGGCTGAAGGCCCAGCCATCCATCTTATCATGGCGTGTCCCTGCCTCTCCTTCCTCCCCTTTGTCCAAGTGTCCCTCGCAGGAAGTGCTAGGGGCCGTTCACTCCCTTTTAATGTCAGCCCTTCTCTCTCATGCACTGAGGAGTGACAGATCCTGAGTGTTACCTTGACCTTCGTGGGGGTCCGGAGGACATGGTGTCCCTGGTGCTCTGTTGGTTCTGAGGCTCTTTCCTGAGAAGATGCCATGACAGCCGGCCTGACCACAGCACCCGAGTGCTTGTCAAAGTCAGGGTGGCCCCCGCACCAGAAGCGCTTGTGCATAGCTGCACCCCAGGGCTGATGGCTAGTTTCTGAGACAGAGCCCAGAAGTCTGTGTCTAAACTTCTCCTGTAACTGCACCTGTTACCCGCAGGGATAACCTCCAGCAGTGGGAGAAGGTGATCCGAGGGGAGGAGAGTGCCGTGTGGATCTCAGCCCTGCCTACGGCCCAGGGGGCCTCCGAGAAGCCTCCAGGGAAGAGCGACCACTGACCCCTCTGAGGAGCTCTCCTGCCTAAGCATTCTCATCTTGCTTCTGTGACTTTTTTCTTTTATTTTTGTGGGAGACCTACGCCTGTAACTGGGGTGCAAACCTCTCCAAGAAAGTAACATCAAGGCGAGATGCCAGGCAGATGCCCTCCTGCCAGTGCCATCTGTAAGGCATCTCGGGCAGCGGACGCCAGGACTACTGTGTTGAGAGCTCGGCCAGCCAAGAGACTCCATTTGACTTGTGAACTGGCCTTTTCTAATAGGCTAATATTGCTGAGGCCTTAATGGAAATGGACAAAAATTATTCAGAAGGGGTACTTTTCCATTGTATCTTTCCAATGAGGGTTTAAAATGGTACTACTATGGCATTGTACTTTGGCTTTAACACCAGTGTCACTTTGATGTTGTTGGTTTTAAATAGGAATTTTTACACGTTACTATTGTGAACGTTCCTGTGTGAGCTGTAAGGCTTGTTGTTAATTTGAGTTGCAACCCCAGCCTCAGGGCAGGCGTCAATTGAGATCACAGTGTAAGAAGTGGTAGAGAAGTCTAATTTAGTTTCAAATCTTTAGGAATTTAGTGAAGTGGACTAAAGTGTATTCTTTAAGTTTATATTAAAGGGCTTAGATGATTACATTTAATATTAAAGGGAGTAGGCTGTCCTTTGGGAAGAAATGCCGGCCAACACCACAGTGAAGCTCAGAACTTCAACTATCAATTCAAAAAATGTCAAATAATTTAAAAAATTTTTCCTCATTGTCATTTTGGCAAATTTACTGAACCCTTTGCTTAACAAACAAAATAAAAGCAAGGCATTGCGATTTTTTTAAATGGATAAGTTTTATGGATGTAAAATGTGAATTTTAAATAATGATTCCTTTATATTTTCACTGTCATTACAAAATTTTAGACTCATATTCAAAATGAAAAGTTCTCTCTAAAAATTATTTCATTAAATACCATACATTTCTTTTTTAAAAAATGAGATTAAATCATAAAATGTAAGTCTTTTGTATTTTATTTTGATCCACCCCATTCTCTCCCATTTATTTCCATCCTCATGTTAAGCGATCATATTTCAACAACTTTCACGGAGTGAAAGTTGAGGAGGAAAGTAGGACAGTCACATTACGCCTGTAATTTCTGTCCTCCGTACTCTTCTCACAGATCGAATACCTACAGAGAAACCTGTGGGTTGGGTGGTTTATTCTGTGTGACTTCTTGGTTGACTGATATTTCCATATAATGTAAATGTTTTTAAAAATATGAAGGAAACAGTGTGGACCCCTTCCTACAAAGATTACACGGCAGTCACTACTGGGGCATGTTAATACTTTAAAGATTTGGGCACAATGGACAGTAACCTCTGACCCTGAGGTTACTTCTAAGCTGAAGGAAGTAGAGTCTCACACAGGGTCCAGCTAGTCCAGGACAAGTGGGTTGTTCACTGTTCACATGGAAGAACACTGGAATATTACCGTTAATGAAACAAAGTTTTTAAATATGCTTCTACATATTTAATATTATATACATTGTTGTTTATATGAGCTTGGTTTTGCAGAATTAAATCAGAGGCTTCTACAACATGGTTTATTGATGTTGTAGCAGAGTTAGCTATACATAGACATTGTTCTTATGTTAAAATTAACACTATGTGTTCAATTTCCTTATGGGCTTAAGAGAGTTGCCATCTTCTCTACATGGAGTTGCATTTGCTATTTTAATTATTTACAACATGAGGTAAAAATGTCATAACTGAAAGGAGATGAATACGACTGTGGCTAGATGCACACACAGCTACACGCACATGGATGGATGTCATGTATGTAGACTCACGGAGCTGTCCGTGCCACAGCCTCATGTGCAGGTGCGGGCACACACCCCCACATGGGATATACATGCATGACATACACGTGAGTCAGGAGAGAAAGGCAGGCAAACATGCATGAAAAGTAAATACCAACCTTCAACTTGGAAGAATATCAGTCTTCAAAAATGGTGATGTTTTTGTGTTAGAAGATATACATTACTTGATGCAGAGTTAACTAGAAAGTGTCTTTTTTGTTACTGTATTAATTGAATTTAAGCTCTAAAACGCTGCACATTTTTCTGCATACAAGTTTATGAAACCAGGTTCCACCAAATATAACTTCAATTATAAAACTTAATTTAGTCATCTGATTTAACTTGGAGACTGAATTGCCGGAGGGAGGACATCCTGCAAGATTATTGTTTAATTAAAAGGATTTTAAAGGAATCCAGAAATTCTGCTTGAAAATACAGAAAAACAATCATGGAGGTTGGAGTCGTATGGCTATTTTTGAATTTTTTAAGTTGCTTTTTCAGATAAGATCATTACAGAAAATTCTCTAATTTCTTATACTCAAGTGTTATATTGTGTGACCTCTACTTTGAACAGTTTCCCAAAGCAATGTATGGATTTACTGGTTAGTTGATTTCTTGTGAAATAAGAGAAGCACAGTGTGAAGGAAAGACAATATTCTCATGTAAACTGTTAATACCCCTTTTACCGCGTGGGAGACTTTCTTAGTAATCATAGATTAACCTAAAATGAAAGGGTCCAGGTTACATTGATACTTAGTTAATAATTTGTTTTAGAAACTATGTGGTGAAGAGTGTTTTTGTCTTTGGCAGATAAATTTAGCAGACTTTTTAGTTGTTCCTTATCTTTTCCCCAGAACTTTTCTTAAAAGGACAGTGTAATACCAGAAGTTAGGCACATGGATCTTACAGTGAATTTTTCATTAAGGGAATATTTTATACTAGGCCAAATTTTCTCTGTCCCGTATAAATGTGGTGACCATCTATGAGTATATGTAGAATGTCCAATTTGCAGTGATTTATATTGATTATGATAATTTACGAAAAATAAGGTTTATAGTCACCTGCAATTATTCCATTATCCTTCTAGACATAACGAAAATATTTTTAGCTAGAAATGTTTTGGAAATGTAAATGCATATCAAGAACTCAAAATTCTAAATTCAGGCAATGTAGTAAAATCCTAAAATCTAATCATCTCATTAATTAGCAGATGACTGTGGATTAATTAATTAATTAATCAATGAGAACCACTTTAAATGCAGTGAATGTAGAAGCTAATTCTCAAATATGATCTAACTCCTAGGGCAGGGACTGTGATCCATTTCTCAGCTTCGCTTATGTCAAAGAAGCATATGAGAAACCAGTATCGCAAAAGAGATCCACTTAGAAACGTCAGCACAGTGTCCCTCGTGCCTGCTGTTCTCCAGGTGACCAGGCAGGATTGTACAGGTGTTACAGTGGTATTCCAAGAGACTTGTTCTCTTAGCAGCAAAAACAGAATGAATTTGAAGCTAGATCTGTTCAGTGTAGGTTTCCTCTTTTTAGCATGCTTTTAAGATTTTTTTGGTTTAATTTTGTACAACCTCAGTGAATTTTGCTTCATTGATGTGTTCATGTACACACTAGATATGTTTGTACAGAATATAATTAGATACATAAATCCTTAGATAGATGGATTTTTAAATAGGTTTAGATTTTGATATTGTGTTTCTGGTCTTTTAACTCAAAATTAAGGTTTGAGCTTTAATAGAACTAAATTACTCACCATGCCTTGGCCTGTGCCTTTATTTTCAATACTGCGATCAACCTCCTCATTCATGTACTCATTATTTTGCTTTCCTTGTTTTTCTATAATTGAAAACATTTAGAGGGACGTCCTTGGTTAATTTTGTCCGATTGAGTAAGTGGGATCGTTCTCTCCCCATCAGCTTACTTTTATTTGACTTCATTAACATACCCTGGTGACTGTTATATCAATGAGTTGTTCAGATTCAGTCTTTCCTGCAAGAACTGTGACACTGATTATGATGTAATTTTGTTGGGTTTTCGTTATATAAGCATGACTTTGATTTTGAAAATCATTTCTCTGTTATGTATTTCAAATGTGTTTGCTTTCTACACTTCATCGATTTTATTTAGGCTTTTATTCTTTAAGGACTATATTCAGCTGGTCACTACAATGGATCCCTTCTGTTCAAAGTCTTAGTCTGATCTGAAAATCATTGTGAAATTGGCTGAGTGTGCTGTCAGCTGGCGTTTCCCTCAGGCTTGTCAGCGCATGGCTGTCCCATTTTCCCATGAGCATAAGTATTTATCCTGATACACCTTTGGCTGCATCTTTAAACATTTATATTAGGTTTCAGTAAGTGACAAGCCAATGCAGTACACACTTTGTAAAATCTTTTTTCACTGGCTATTGTGGTGTTCTGAAGCATTGGATGCATGTAATGTGATGGATAAGAACAGCAAAAAAGAAAGGAAGACAGTCCCAGCGGCGTGCTCCTTCCAGACTAGACACTGGAACAAGAGAGAGAGATCGATGTTTCCCAAGAAACGCTCACCACATTCCCTTGATTTTTCTCTCCTCCCCTCAACCATGGAAAGCTGTGTTTTTAAGTCACGGGTAGTCCACCTGCTCTTTACTGCAGGTGTGAGAAACTGAATGTCACCCACGGACCCCGGCAGAAACTCACAGCCAAATACGGTTTGCCACATAGGAAAGTAGGTTCAGTCTTTAGCTATTTTTTGTGGTACTGTGTATTTGCAGAAGTTTAAGTGGAAAGTTTGTACTTCTATTGTATAATTAAGTTTTAACAGTTTTAATACTCTATCCCAACAAAATATCATTATATTGTGGGCATTGCAGCCCTTGTTTTTTTTCTTTAGTCACTTCAATATCTAGTCCTATGCTGTATCTCAGCCTGTATCAGTGACAGTTGGGAACATTATTTTCAAACTGATCTGTTACGTGGTGTATATGCTATGTGTTCTTTAGTGTGCAAATTGAAAGTACGATAGATTTATCACAGAGGTGTTTCTGCACAGTGCCCCTATATTTGAAAATACATGCTTGCCCAAAACACTGTGAAACAGTTACCAAAATTTGTACAAATTCTGCATCTTGACTCTTTCTAAAAAGAACAAGTGACTTTCTTTTT